TGGGGGAGCGCCGCTCGGCACCACCACGCGCGCGAGGAGCCCGCATCATCACGGCGGCACGTCCGCGATTAGACCGTGTCGCCCACCACCGTTTGACGACTAGACGCGGGGACCCTCGGCGTCGGGCCGAACCAGCTGTATGGGCGTGAAGGGAGCGGAACGGGGCCAGTGTAGGGAGGTGTGGCGGGGCGGGGCGGGGCGCGGCGGGCGCCGCCAGATATTTGCATAGCGGTCCGGTACCGCGGTCCGGGGAGTAGCGCCACTGGATTCCTAGACGCCCCGGCCACCGCCGGGCCTCCTCTCGGGAGGGGGCCGCCCGACCAACTCCCGGCCGTCAGGCAGCCCATCCGGCAGCGGGCCGCGCGCCCGGGAGGTGCGCAGCCCATCGTGCGCGCCGCCTGCAGGCTGCCCCTCCCGCGCGGTGTATAGGCAGCCCCTCCTGCTCCTTGAGCCGCTGCTCCAGCAGCCGCGCGGGAGGCTCAAGGTCGACAAAGGGCGCCGCCGCCCGGCCCCCGGCCCGGCCCGGGGTCTCGGTCAAGGTCGGCCAGCCACCTGCGCGCGGCGCGGCGCGACGGCGCGACGGCGCACCCTCCCCTGTGGGAAGCGGGTCAGGTGCAGGAGGGCGTCACCTCGGGGCTCACCTCACCGGCCCCGGCCGGCGACAGACACTGGAAGGCAGATAAAGCCCCCAGTGCAGGTTGTGAGGTGGACACTCTCCCGGGCTGGGCTGGGCTGGGCTGGGCTGGGCTGGACAAGTCTCCTCGTGCGGGGACTTCAACGCGCGAGGTGGCCGGGGCGGCGGCGAGCCGCCAAGCCCCGAGGCGGCCAAAAGGGGGAGGCGCCCGTCCCCGTCATCGAGCGGGGATAAATCCCTGTCGTGCCGGCGGTGTGCGAGGAGAGCAGCTGTCTCTGGCTCTTCATCTCGCGCAGACTGTCATCACGACGACGGCGAGCTGGTGACGAGAGGCGACACGCACCCCAGTTGCGTCACACGTTTTCCACCACACACTGTAAGAGGCAGGCAGAGTGTCTGACTGTTAGTCACCGCACCGGCCGGCCGGCCTGTGCCCGCGTGCTCACTGATGACCGCGTGGCCGCGGCGGCGTGAAGTGCTCCATCACGGTTACTTAGTCTGCAGGAGAAAATAATGACCCGTAATCAGATCCCTGCGCCCGACCCGCGACCTTTCATAGAGGGAGGGCGGCTCATTTGGACTCGTTCTTCGGCCGTATCGCTGCCGGGTCAGCAACGCCGATTACACCAGTAATTAAGATATATATTTTCGTTAATAAATATAGGATAAGGTGCCCTGCCTAGTGCTGGCCACTTTTATCGATTTGCAGCCTAACTCGTCACTGTGCAATCTTGGCACAGAACTAATGTTCTTGTGAGATCCCTACCGGGGTAAAATAATAAGCCAAACTACCTCGCTCCGTTCTTCCAAAGATGTTATGATGTACGGCATTGTAAGGTATTTTCGAAAGACGGGGGGA